TAAGAACTTGTGGCATCCATGTCAAGGCAAGTTGCAGCTGTTTTGCAGGCCAAAGGTCGCATAATGTGTTATTGAGTAGGTGGTCATAATGTTTTGGCTCTTCAGTGCATACAGTAAAACCTCTCTAAGGTGATCATTCTTCCAGATGATATGTCCTTCTCTGGAGGCAGTCACCTTATAAAATGTGATGATCATTGATGTTTGGTACTGTTATTTAGGGTGACTGTTGGAGGTTTTATTGTGTGTATATATAATAAGACTTCTAGTATTTGAAATCTAACAAGTCTGCAGAATCCTTAACTAATACTTCATAATGAATTTCTCAGTAGGTTGAATTTTAAGCACTCAAACTTTTTTTTTTTTCTGCCTCCTTCGATTTTGACAATCAGTGTTTAACTTCATATGAATTTTAATCTGATAACATTAAAATAACAATTACATGGTAAAAGAACTTTTTAGGAAACTTAAAAATTTTTTTTTGTTATTCATGATATTATGCTGTACTTAACTGAAATGGCATTTTTGAATATAAATTTGTATTAATATAATAAATATATTGATAAATAACAATGATGAATAATAATATTAAATACTATTTTTTTAATTTTTATTTTTGTATATACTCTGTGCTGTATTAAAATACATAAGCAGAATTAACTCATTTATAATCTGCACATAGTGGATATAAAAGAAAAGTGGGCATTATTCGTATTTCATATGTAAACACAGTTAAATTTTTAAATTTTTGTCAGTAAACATTTATGAAAAATATGCTTTAATTAAAATAATGATTAAAAAAACTAAATCCAGTATAATGGTGTTAATTATATAGAGGAATGCTGTATGCAATTCATTAATTCTAATATGTCTTACCTTCCGCTTCGAAAGAACAAAAAATATTCCGTAAATACTTTTAGTGTCTTTGGTCATTGTCCATTTTGACAATAAGACTGTTATGGAACTATTTAGAATGAACTTTACTTTGTAAACAGAAAGAATAATTGTATGAAATCATATGCAATGTGTTTAACTCTCATAAGGATGGATGTGGGTAACATCTGTGTTTAGTGAGAAAGTAGGAGGTGGTTGTTAAACTTTAAATCCACAACTTGTGAAACTTTTAGTTTATTGAAAGTAAGTATTAAGTAAGGGTCAGAGAAATATTTTTGATTTCAAATGAAAGGTTAGATAAGATATCAAGATTAAATCTGAGAGAAATACACTAATTTTTTCATTTCATTATTGAATTATGAATTTATTCTTTCAATTGCATCATAAGATGTATTTAGATAGATATTGCATTATAAATGTATTGTAAAAAAGTTCATTGCTGTTACATAATAATACATTGGCGACAGTGACATTCCATGCTGTCAATTAAGTTGTTAGTGAAATTGGAAGCAGCGACCAGACATGGAGTAATCCTTGTTCAAGTTCATCTAACGACCTTGGAGGAGAACTTAAAGCAGCAACCTGGCTCCCAAGGCAATCCCAAAGATGCTCTATTGAATTCAGGTCTGGGGATTGAGTTGGCTTTTCCATCCACTCCATACCATGATTCTCAAGATATTCTTCATCAGCCCGAGCTTGGTGCTGTCATGCATTGTCGTCCGTCAGAAAAAAATACAGGATCACTAGCAGTGGCATATGGGCGGACATATTGATCAAAGATCTCATCTCGATATCTCACACCTGTCAAAGTTCCTGCATGGAACTCATGCAGGTGTGACCACCAAGAGAAATCCCAGCCCAAACCATTATTCAACCACCTTTGTAACTGTCTCTTTCCACAATGTGGGATTGGTTGTATCTGGTGTGTTGTTCCCTCCAGATCAGATGGCAACCACTCTCCATTGTGATCTCAATCACTCTCCAATGTGAACCAGGACTCGTCTGTGAAGAGAACAGATGCCCATTGTTGACTGGTCCAGGAGATGAAATCTCTTGCCCAACATAAACGGGCACCTCTGTGTCCTCAGGTCAAGGGAACACAAACAACTGGTCTACTGACTAATCATGGGCTTTTCCTGGCTTGTTTTAATCGATTCCATCTACAGAGTAATAATCAGTGCTTAATATGTGATAAGTTTGGAGATGCCAGGCACTTCTTCGATGAATGTATCCTTACCTGGAGTGCAAGAGAGAAGTGTGAAAGAGTTTTAACCCTTTGCGGCATGGTGGGTCAATATATGTCCCACCTAATTAATATTTATTTTCTCAGTTAGCAATTTCCGTTAGAAATTTTCTAATCTTTTAAAAATAATCTATTTTAGTTATTATTTTTCTCAGTAGATGTTATTACTATACCAGGGCTTAAGTTTATAAGCAAAAAATATTCAAAACAGGATCACAAGAGTGATATCCATGCATCTCGCATTTTTCAATATTTTAAAAATGTTGGTATACAATTTATGATATGTATGATTCTTTTTAATATTCAAAGGTATTTTATTTTCAAAAATCTTAATTGGATTCAATATTTTATAACATTAATTTTGCAGTTGAAATAAGTGGGTTAAAATTTGTCCCACCACACACTTGAATTTCCGCTCAATAGATGGCAGCACTCATGATTATTTTTCTTTTCTTTTTTGCATCTACTTTTTTCGTGATTGCGCGCGCTTTTACATCCGTTGTATGCTCTGATGTGCTAAAATGTCTAGAAAAAAATTAACAACTCAGGAAGCTTTGGATCTTTTTGCTGAATTGCCATCCAATTGCGACTCAAATGCTTCAGATATCAGTTCTGATTGAGGGAAAATTGAAATCCAAGAGAGAATAACTGAGGTTGAAGTTATTGCTGAACAAAAAAGGGAAGTAGTTATAATTTGTTTCTCTTTTTAAAGACACAGACCCATCTATGCATGTGGCACTGTAAATATGAATCGGAAGTATCTACCCAAAAATTTATGTCAAGAGAATATAATGACTTTTCAGTTAGCGATGATTCAATTTACTGCATAAAATGGAAGGATAAAAGATCCGTTTCTATCCTGTCTTGCTTGGAAAATGCAACTGAAATGAAAGAAATCAATAGAAAAGAACGAGATGGAAAGACAAAAAAAGTAATGTCCCCAAACAGCATTATTTCATACTATAAGAACATGGGATATGTCGACAGATTCATCAACTGAAAGGACTATATGAAATAGACCGCAAAAGCAAGAAATGGTGGCACATGATTTTTTTTTTACTTTTTAGAGGAGCGTATAGTAAACGCACTTATTCTATTTAAGTTTGTTTGCGAACCTGATCATGATGTAAACACAATGAAAGATTTTTTTCTCTCAGTTATAGAAGGTCTAATGGCACTTGCATGCAAGTAAGAGCAGAAAAGAAAACTGAAATCCCCAGTTAAATAAAAACTAAAAACTCGTTTGTACTACCAGAAAAGAGACTAAAAAATTTAAGTCACATGCCAAAGAGAACGAGCAGGAGAAGATGTGCATATTGCAGCACATCGAAAGAAGAACGACGAACATTTTGGATGTGTGAAACATGTGAAGTGGCTCTATGCTTACAAAAGAATGAAACAAGTTTTTCAAAGTTTCATGAAAAATGACTTTTTTTCTGTTTTAATCATATATAAATGTTTTTGAATCAAGTGACAATTTCAATATTTTATTTAGTATCATATGTACGTGTATCAAATTTTAATCTTAAAATAATATTCAAGAAAATATTTTCTTTTGTTCCTAAAATTTAAAAATATTAAATATATATATGCAAAATGTGCATATGCAAAATTTTACAAGTCATGCATATATGCAATAAGTACAAAATGCATTTTAGTGTGTTTTTTATGAATATTTTAGAATGCCCGCTTTATTTTGTTTATTCATTCCACATATGATTTTTTTTTCCTGCTATACACCAATATGCTATAAGACATGTGCTATGTTGTTGGTGGTGGGTTGCATGGTGTTGCATGGTGGGACAAACGGTATCCCACCTTCCCCCATAAAAAATAAAAGCGCAGAATTTTTTTCAAGCCTTAAAGGCACTTAAGTAAGTCCATCTGACTTATTCCAAGTCATTTTTTTAAAGATTAAAAAATATTTTAAATATGCGTGTCGCAAAGGGTTAAAGAAGATTTTAAAAGGAATTCAAATTTGAAAGGTTTTGCAGAGACAATAATGAAAATTATAAATACGAACAAACATAGAATTGGAATTGGGCACTGAGACTCAGATTTTGGACTTTATATGTTTTTTCTGAACAATCCCATTTTTTTATCATATCGTCGGCTTGTGCTAACTAGGAGGATCAGGGCTGTGCCCTTATAATAATAATAATAGTACAGACCTGTATGGTGCAATCATCTGCGCATTATAGTAGTTGAGATTTTTGTTCCTGTTGCCACTAAATGTTTTGTCATGAGCTGAGGCACAATAATGTTACTTCTCCTTTGGGTCGAAAGAGCTAAATAAAGGTTTCTCCGCAGGTGTTGTAAGTCTAGGTCTTCTAGACACAGAATCCTCAGATTCAGACTGTTTCCATACTTGGTAGACCACACTACAAGAGACATTGAGATGTCTAGCAGCATCTGCTTCTGACATCCCCATTTCCATCCATCCGATCGCCTGGCACCTCAACAAATTGGGCAAACAACTTCTCCTGGATATTGCTCACGAAACTGTAATAATAACTGAAGATTAACACTCGTTAACAAAAATTACAATTTTTGCATTTTTTCTCTTACTCCTGTATAAGTATTCATCTCTATATAATAAAAGTGGTAGCTATTGTTTTTGCATATATTTTCTTAAACTTTGTTACTGTCATGCATATGAACTGTGAATTTAAACATTACTGACATTTTTGTAATAGTGAGCTTTAAAAACAGGCTTTTCTTTAACTTTTGGAGGGCAGTGTGTATTAAACTGTGATTTTGTTTTGAATTCTCATTCAGAATTTATTTTTTGTTGAAAAAATATATGTAGTGTGTACTGAAGTAAAGTAGCTAAAATTTTTAAGTACTCTTTTGCTTATATTTTTAGAACAATAATGACGAATTTAAGGATGACTACAGTGATTTGCCTCCCAATCAGCGTAAAAAGAAATTAAATCAAAAAATAGATTCTATATCTAATAACATTTCCCAGGAAACAGCCACAAGGTGAGTTAAGGAGAAAAAAAATTTTTAAATAATTGAAAAAAATTTTTCTGATTCAAATAGTTATCACAAATATTTTCATTTTATAATTTTTCTGATCCATTATAACAGTTTTTTATATGAATAAAATGCTGTCTAATCTCTCCTTTGCTTAAATTAAATAATCCTCTTCAGTTCAGTCTCTTTTTTTCCCACTAAATATCATTCTAGTATAAATGATCCATACTGATTTTGCGAGGTGCAAATTCATTTGTCTTAGACCAAGCATACATGAATTGTAACATCAGAAATTCTCAAAAGTTACAGACAAAGAGAAGTTAAAAAACAGTGTAGTTTTGCTAATTATAAGATGAATCTGCTGGGTATTATTCTGCATAATATTATCCACATACGCATAGCACTTTTTTTTAAAAGATGCCAAAATATAATTTTTTTTTTTTACTTCTCATTTAGGGAATAATGAAGTACAGGTATGTGAATATTAATGAATGTTATCGCTTCTCCAGGAAATGCAAAGGTCACAGTCATTTTGTAAAGTTCCTATTAAATTTTATAAGCCAAAAATCCTATTTTTGAAGTAGAACTGTTTTCAATTCTAGAATGGTCTTTAGATGAAATTGATGAAATGTAAATTCACCTAAATAGTATATTCTACCCATGTTCTATGAGATTCATATCTGGAAACATAAATAACCACAGTGTACTCTAGATGTATTCATTTTGAGAAAAGTCATCAGTCAGAAGGTGAGACTATGGATGAATACAAATTTTGAATTCACAGTGCCTTGAAAAAGACTAAATGTAAAATAAATTGACTCTTTACTGCTTAACAGTAACAGAACCCTGGTGAAAGATATGAAGTTCTTTGCATTGAGCATTATACCTACCACTTACCATATTAAAGAAATGGTAACATGATCCTTGTTCTCTCCTTAGCATAGTCCAGTAGGAATAAAGATATAAGCTGAATCTCGCGATGTAACTGAAGAGCATTACTGATTTGGAGCCCATTATTGGTGTTTCTGACTCCATCATAAATGCACATATGCATGCATTGTTGTGATTTGTAGTCAAATTATAGAATGTGTGGCATGTAAATAATTTATCTCACCTTTTTGTAAATAATTATTCTAGAAATAATTGCTTCTCACATATTGACTTCTCAAGTAGTTGCTCTTCAGACATTGTCATGGCAGTTTATGCCATATACAATTTCTGCTGTCAGATTTAACTTGCAGGTGCTTTGCTGTTACTGATTATCATATAAAGTCTGCAGCACAGTCTTGCATTCAATACTTTTGTACAGGATGGGCCTTTTTTATTATTGTCAGGGTAACTGCAATTCGCAAGAGAGTAACATTATTTGTAACTGTCTTGCGAATGGTTTTATCCTGTAACTTCATCATACCAATGGTTTTATTTTTTAAAAGAAATCAGCTTAACATCTTTGGGCCATGAACAGTTGTTACACAACAATAAAAGTATGAAGAACTAGAATAAGACATGCATTTAATTGTACCAATACATTTGCAAATATATTTTTGCATTCATTATCGACAGTTATAATTGCATTATCACAGAGGGTACTTACTTTAATTGTGTATTATCTACATGTTAATTTCTGATGTTTTGTTTGTGTTAATTCTTTATTTTGTATAATTTGAGTAGCATTCAACTTTTTAATGATAGAGTAAATACGAAACTTATGTTATTGCTCCCTTGATAACAAAATTGAAGAAATCACTATTAATAATAATTATATTCCATAACAGTTAATATTATTCAATATGTTTTTCATCACACCTTGAGAAGATAAATTTTAAAAAGGGGCATTTTATTTATTAATTTCGACGTTTCAGTTGCATATCAGAATAAATTAAATCTATATGAATTGAAAATATTTCAGACCTTGACCATAGCTTACCTAAGGAAGTTCAGCTTTCATAAATAATCTGAATTTTTTTTAATTATTCAGTTGATAGCTTAAAATCTTAAGAACACATAGCACATGTGAACTGTAGCAATTTAAATTTTAATATTTCTAGCTGAACTGTTTTAGTATTCCAACTAAATTTACATTTTATGTGATAATGGTTGATATAAATTTGTTCATATGTATTTGAATAAACAGCACAATGTTTTGCAATTTAAAAATCCATTGCAGTTAAAAGCTTGCTATTGCAGTATTTTCGCAAGTAGTATTTTTGCAAAGAACTGAACAACTACGCTTTTAATTAACAAATGTTAAAAAACTTTAGGTTATGTAATTGGTAATATCTAAAGAATAAGTTTAGAATTAGGATGCCTATCAAAGTAGAACTATGAGAATATATGAAAACTCCGATTATCTTTGTATATGAAGTTTTCTTGATAGTTAATTATTAATCAGTAATTCACAGCAGTTGTAGTTTAGATATTAATCATAGGTTCATTTGTTATTTTAGGGATGGGCTTCTTAAGATGAAAGCAGCATATGAACAGAATCCAGCTCTAGGCGATCCTGTAAGCATTGACCAACAACTACCAGAGATCAATTCTAGGATAGAAAAACTTCAAATGCAGTTGCATAAATATCAGGTTGCTTATTTCCCCTTTGCTGCACTTGATTTTATTTTTTGCTTAATCATCTGCCTCCTCTACAACCTACCAATCTCATACCTGCCATTTTATTATTTTATTATTGTGTACTTTGTACCCCTTTTACCTAACCTTCATAACATGAAAACAGAAATTTTTTGAACTATAAGTCCAATGAAAATATATTTATTGCTTATTTATTAATTTTTCTTTAAAACTATATTGAATATTTTCTTAGGGTTATTTAGCAGAAGTTGAAGGCAAAAGTTTAGCTCCTGATATGCAGATAAAGAATGTGAATAATGTGTCAGATGATAATATATCAAGGAGTACATCAAATTCAAGTGTTAATCATACAAAAGCAGTAGCTCCAGCTGTTCCATTACCCAGAGAGTAAGTTTACTCGAGCAGTCAGTTATCTAGCATGTTTTCTCAATTCAGTAAAACCTTTTTATTTATTTAAACTAATGTTTATTTGAATAATACATATGTATAGCATGGTTTATATCAGTTTCTTAAACTGTGGGTCGCAAGACCTGCAGCAGGGGGTCGTCAAAAATTTTAGCAGTTTTGATATTTCTTTAACTTATTATAATAATTTTACAATACCAATTTTTTTTGACACGGTGTATCTGAAAATAGATAAAGATAAGACAGTACAAACAAAGGAGAAAGCCAAAATGTTTCGACGCATTTTTTTTATAATATAAACATTCATTTTCCTTGCTTTGCAAGTGATGCTGTAATTTCGTCTGTTACTTATTTAAAATTTTCACATTATTCTATGTCTAAAAACTAGAAATGAATGTTAATGACCTAAAACTGCAATAGTATATTACAGTACAAGTGAAAAAATTGACGGTTTCACTCACGTGTGTGTCGGATTTGCGTAATACTTATGAGATCCCACAAAATTTTTGTAAGTATTATGGAGTTCTAGGGGATCGCGAAAAAATCTCAGTGATAAAAAGGGGTCATGACTGAAAAAAAGTTTAAGAAACCCTGGTTTATATAATCCTTAAAAGTCATTAATTTCAGCCACAATTTGCAGAAGTTCCTTAATTTTAGTCATATGACATTTTTGTCCTCTCTTTTTTTTTTTTTTTTTTTTTTTAATGCCTGCCACTTTCAATATGAATTAACATTTGGATTAATATTGAATTTAAACTGCGTGGCTTGAAATGGAATCATTGAAAATTGGTATTACAAACAATGAAAACAATGAGCTATCTTAGATTGAAAGTTATCAATGAGAATGCTGTCTCTACTGCATTTAAAAAAGAATTTTATTTTTATTTTACAAATGCCAAGTATTAGAGCCTAAGCCATTAGTTCACGGCTCTGTAGTACTTTTTAACAATATCCTCGTACCGAGAAAGTGCAGTACAATTATTTAAATGTTCAAAAATCATAGGCTGATTGGAGTTACACAAAGCACAGTTTGGGGAATTCATCACTCCAGTTCTGTAGACATGGTCTCACAAACAGTCATGTCCAGTCAGACATCTAAATAGAGCCACCGCTGTCTTTTTTAGAAAACTGGGACTGGTTTTTTCTTCTCTGAAAATACTCCATCTCTTATCCATAGTACATTGAATTTAACCTGTTTAAGAATTTTTTTAAGAATCAGGTTAACAAACAATTTAGTCAGTCGTATGAAAAGAAAGTGGTCAATCAGTGTGTTGCTTTCAAAGTTTCTAGCGTAACATATTTATCAGTTTTTTTTATTGCCTGTAATTTCACAGAGGGCTGAAATCCATTGGAAAGAAAATCTGTATGCCATTGCTACAGTCTAAGATTCTTTGGGAACTATTTTGATTTTTTAAAAGGGCTTAAAGTGCACTTTTGGAATCTGACAATATGACTGCCTTTGCAAAAGAGTGCCTATGGATTGACAGTTGTTGAATACCCACAGCAATGGCTTCATTTCACCATCGAAGGCAGTAGTAAGAGGGATCTTTGTTTACAAAAAGAAGAAGTTCTTGGATTTTGACCGGGACCTAATGAGCATGCTTCAGTGAAAGTATAAACTCCATGTCATGCTTTAAAACATTGTTATTAGTGAATCCAGATATTTTTTAAGTATGTGAACAAAAGTCATTAAAGGGCACTCATAAAAGAAGGAATATTCTTAAAGTATTCGTTGTAAACAATAAAATTCTGGAGTGCATCATATAGTCAACTGTCCCCAGATCAGTCTCTGCTAATAGCAGTTGCGACCATCTGGAGCATTTCTTTGGAGATAAAATCACGAATGGAATATAAAAGGGAGGTAAGACACTGGCTATCGAAGTATTTGAGGGGGTACTATAGTCTTTTTACCCTAGAAGATTCTAGCAAGATTTATAAATCAGTGATTAATGATTAAGACACAATAACACGCCAAATAAATACTAATTCAGAAGTCAAACAACAAAAATCAGCGTTATATTTACAAAATTTCCACAGGACTAGTTTCGATGGTTTTACCGAATCACCATCCTCAGCTGCAAAACCGCAAATGAACAAGATAGGAAATAATGATTAGATAAGATAAGAAAGCTTGAACAAGAATAAGCAAGTGGTGCCATCTGTTGGCGAAACCAGAACTAAAACATAATTTCTTTAAAGGCCGAAGGCAAATTTGGATTGGAATTAGGATCGTTAACTAGAACAGAAAGATTTTTATGAATGTGAAATGCCTCTAGAAAATCCAGTTCTCCAATGAAAGATGTTTTTTGAATAATTTTGGCAGCAGAAAAATTGAAAGTGTGATTTTCGGACCAACAATGTTGAGCAACAGAAGACTTCTGTGTTTCCTTTTTTCTAACATATGCCTCATGCATACCTGCCAACTTTTATGAATTTTTCGTAATTTTTACGAAAATGCGTTTGTCTTTTACGATCGTAATCCATTTTTTACGATTTTTTCCTTTTTCAAGTGTTTTTAGTGATTTTTGGTCGAAATTTTAGAATTTTTTGCCAATTCAGTGATTTTCGCCAATTGCATCGTTTTTTACCGCCAACTACCGACTACTTCGAATCCAGTAACCTGCGGTTTCTCCCAACTCGCTGCTTAACCAGCCAATACAATGCGCTGAACTTGTTTCTCCCACACTTTTCTTTGTGGGCGCCAGATTATTTTTTTCGCGTTCGCTTCAGCAGCAAGGGAATTACTCAGCTCGGACTGAGCAAGCGTGGATTGTCGGATTCTGTTTTTTTTTTTTTTTTTTTTTTTTTTTTTTTTTTTTTTTTTTTTTGTTGTTGTTTGTTTTGTTTTTTGCTTGCACGTGCTACGAATTTTCTTAATACGTCGTTGTTACGAAATGAGTTCAAAAAATCCGTGTTCTCAATAGTTTCGGCCTGCCTACAAAGCCGAATTTCCAACAATTAAAGAATCCTTCAAAGGAAATAACTATGCATTTTTGCAACGTGTGCGTCTTCATAATAAGTCACGGTGGAAGAAGCGACATTGTGAAGCATGTTAAGTCTAAAAATCATGAAGTTAATGCTTCGGCTTCGACAACGTCAAAGAAAGTGGATGATTTTTTTTTCAAATTCGACTACGAATTCGGATGCCGATGTCATTTTGGCAGAGTGTTTGTTTACTGCATTCCTCATCGAACACAACATGCCGCCGATAATGCCGGTCAACTTTTCAGATGGATGTTTCATCTTTTGACAAATTGAAAATTCATCTTTTGAAAAGATTCGTTTTTTTATTGATAAATTTCCATTTTTGTTAATTAAGGAAAATGAATGCCATAATGATGCTTTAGATGAATTACAGAACCAATTTTCTGCTGCACAGTTTGAAGACTTTGCCAGTTCTGGAGAAGATAGACTTGATGTCCTCGTTGGTGCCTTAAAAAGATTAAAATGAGTTCATGGAACACCAAAATATGATAGACTAGCAAGAGTTTTTATGTGCTATTCTCGTAATTCCACACAGTAATGCTGAGAGCGAGAGAGTCTTCAGTGTTGTAAAAAAAAAAAAAAAAAAAACTATGTTTCGTTCTTCAGTTTCACCAAAAACTCTAGAGAACATTTTAATTGCTAAATGTTATGAGGAAACTAATTGTTACGACAGGAATTTTCCAAAGAATTTTTGGCTAAAGCCAAAAAATGCACTCTAAATTCATTGCAATAATTTTTTTGTGTAACATTAAGTTCTTGTTTTATGTTTCCTAATAAATTTTTTAGTTACTACTTAACTGAGATTTACTAATGTAATTATAACTTTCTTTTTTTCTATTTGTATAAATTGTTATTTTTTCAATATCAAAGCATGATATTAATTCTTCGTGTTCTGAATTTTGGAGAAATCTTCTGAATTTGGGGGAGAAATCTTCTGAATTTTTATTTTTAGAGGTTGGCAGGTATGCTCATGTTCCTTGACACGAAATTTTAAGACTCTCTCAGTTTGGCCAATGTAAATTAAACCACACTGGCAAGGAATCCTATAAATACCCCAGGAATTCATATCCGGAATGGAGTCCTTGAGTATGGAACTCGGAATTTTATTGATGGGAGAATAAACAACCCGAAAGTTAAAATTTCTGCAAAATATGTGCAACTTTATAGCTAATTGATGGATAGAAGGGAATGACGACAGAATTTTTATAATCTCCTAAAACAAGAATGTGCCTTTTAGTGTGCTGAGATGAGAATTTTTTAACTGCTTGATTAACCCCTTCGAGCCGGGTAGCGAAAACGCGTGCTTATCGCGGAGGCCGGCAGTGTCTTCCGCGAGTGTCTCTCCAGGGCCGGGGGGGGGGCTTTTTTGCTACTAAGCCTAAATCCATGAAATTTCCGAAGTATCAACGCATTGTTTAATAATGCTCTATAGAGTATTTAAACGGCTTATGCTTTATAGATATTTTTATATATATACTTTAATTACCTTATTTCTTGTTTAAATGCATATTTTACACATTTTATTTTAATTACTCACCATTTTATGACTTTTAACATTATACATCTGAAAAGTAAATATATTACTTAAAATTCTCTTTTCGTATGAAAAATTTTAAAACAGGGATCTACACACAGTCCTACATTACATTCCTTGAACTCGTAATAACTCATTTGCCTGCCGTTTCGGAGGATTTTTCCGGGAATGTGAACAAACGAAGCATCGCCGTCTCATTTTCTTATCAGTCTCTTCTGAACAAAGTTTTGGAAAATGTCTTTCAGTTAATCTTTCAGAATCAATATCAGAACATCAGAATCAATATCTAAAATGTTTTGCATCATTTCTGCTATTTCATGCTCTGTTAAATATTTTCGACGCTTCGACATTGAAACGGTAAAAACAGAAAGAACTCACGTCTAACAAGATCTAATTATTTTCTAAAAACTGAACTGTAAACGGAAATACTAAACGCTTTAGCGCATATAAAACTTCTACTTACAATAAACAACTACCACGTGCGAACAAAGGGCGATTTAAAGAAACGTCATAAATCACGCCATTCGGAAACATCTAGTTCCCCGTTTGTTTATATAATCAAAAACACGCGTATGTGAGTCATGCTTCTCTCATTTCGAGTAGAAGGTCTAATGTATCTGAAACCATATGGACATACAGTGCCATCTTGTGGCAAAAATTATAGTTTGAAAAATGTTCCAAGGTACTGGCACAAATACGTGACAGTCGGTAGAAAACGCAACAATGCCCTGGCACGCCTGCGTGTCGACCGGTAGATAAGTGTGTTCGTTGCTGGCACGTATACGTGACAGTCGGCGTGAAGGGTTAAAAATGTTGGCAAGCCAACATTATTAATCTTTCCATCAATTCCTTTCAATCAATCTTTCCATCAATCTTCTTTCCATAAATTAGCTATAAAGTTGCACATATTTTGCAGAAATTTTAACTTTTGGTGCGTTTATTCTCCCATCAATAAAATTCCTTGTTCCATACTCAAGGACCCCATTCCGGATATGAATTCCTGGGGTATTTATAGGATTCCTTGCCAGTGTGGTTTAATTTACATTGGCCAAACTAAGAGAGCCTTAAAATTTCGCGTCAAGGAACATGAGGCATATGTTAGAAAAAAGGAAACACAGATGTCTTCTGTTGCTCAACATTGTTGGTCCGAAAATCACACTTTCAATTTTTCTGCTGCCAAAATTATTCAAAAAACATCTTCCATTGGAGAACTGGATTTTCTAGAGGCATTTCACATTCATAAAAATCTTTCTGTTCTAGTTAATGATCCTAATTCCAATCCAAATTTGCTTTCGGCCTTTAAAGAAATTATGTTTTAGTTCTGGTTTCACCAACAGATGGCGCCACTTGCTTATTCTTGTCCAGGCTTTCTTATCTTATCTAATCATTATTTCCTATCTTATTCATTTGCGCTTTTGCAGCTGAGGATCGTGGTTCGGTAAAACCATCGAAACTAGTCCTGTGAAAATTTTGTAAATATAACGCTGATTTTTGTTGTTTGACTTCTGAATCAATGATTAATGACTAAAATAATCCAGAAAAAAAGTGGCAAAATGAAAAATGTGTTAGTTATTAGTACAGAGTAAGGATATTTTGCAAGACGATTGTGAGAAAAAGTCTTAATATGTGGCAATTTTTTTTTAAAGAAATGAAAAAATTATTTATATTTTCAATTTTTTATTCTAGAAGTTTTCTTTATAATTAGTTTTCTTTCTTTCCTTAATTTCATGATTCAGAACCATGGAAAATTGCAAAGATGAATCTTATCTTGTCTCATGGATGTGCATCTGTAGAAAGGAACTTCTGTATTAATAAAGAAATTGAAAATTTAAGATTATTATTATTTTTTTATTATTTATCAAAGTGCCGTATATCGTTTCATAATACTTGAGGTATTTTCAGTTTAATACTGAAGGTGTAAAATTCTAATAATCTGAACACTTTAGAACCAAAGGTTATGAAACTTCAAGAATTTAATATGATCTACCCATTTTTAATATTCTTTCCTTCTGTTTAAATATCTAAATAATATTTGCAAGCATTTACAATTCACCGTTTTGACAAGAACAGCAAATAAACTTTTTTAAACAAAAATAATTTTTTTACTATTATAAATAATGTTGCCACTAAAACTTAATAAAGCATTAACTGAAACACAAAAATTTAAGTATCATCCATAAAGTTGTAAATACATATTTCGATTTCTGACATGGAAATAAGAACATTTTGCAAATTTTAGGTCATGTCTTTCTAAATTTTGTTTGTATTTTTTCCAATTCAAATTTTTTATGTTAAAATGGGTTCATTTATGCATCAAAATATTATATAAAAATTTAGTATATCTGCCAAAGAAATTACTTTAGAAAAAAAGTTTATTCTCGAAAGGAAAAATAAAATGAATGCAGTCCTTACGAAAACTCCTGCTATGAGGTTTTCACTAAATTTAATTCTGCTACGGTCAAAAGTCGTTAATTCGGACACCCATAATCCAGAATGATCTATAATCTGGACCTCAAAGCTACAAACTTTCTGCGCATGCGTCGCGTTGACGCATGCACGTAAGACTTTCACGGCTGCAAAATATGCGTGTGCACATGCGCAAAATACGTTTACACATGCGCGTTTAATGTATTACGGACGGTATAAGCTATGCTAATATTATCTAATTCAATTAATGTTGCAGATTGCGTTGTTCCTTAATCTTCGAATTGGATCCGGCTTATTATTTTTTGCAGACTGTTAGAGCAATTTTATAAAAGTAAGCTTAAACTTTCGATTACGTCAAATAGAATTTCCTATATATATTTACTAATATGTAAAGGATCTACAAAGCGGAAGTATGTTTCGAAGTTCATTAAACAAAAGTGGAATTGCTGCAAAAAATGACCTAACCATTCCGAAATCTGTTTATCAATTTCACGCTGCTCTGCGGCGGGGGGAAACGAAGCGGCGCACAATGAATTGGAAGTTCATCTGTCAGCACTATCCTTATCTTCCGGGCAGTTGTTTTCATTTTATTTGGCTTATAATCCCTTACTAAATGTAGTATTTCATCTCGATATATTCCGTTGAACAGCGGAACTTTGTAACTGAACAAGAAATTATGTCTGTTTATAGAATTTAAGAGAAAGTATTATCACATAAAACGAAGCAACTTACATTGAAAGAAATGTTTAATAAAGTAAACAAATAAATATTAAGCTTCTTTTTTTTTTTTTTTTTTTTTTTTTTTTTGTAAATTTTGATACTTTTTAGATCATAATTGTTCTTTATTTCATAAATTACGGTTTCATATTTTTAATTTTATAATTTCTGCATGCCATCTTACCAGATTTAAACTGATGATCTATAATCCGGAATCGCCGAAGTCCCGACGAGTCCGGATTAACGACTTTTGACTGTATTATATTCCATGCATGTACAATTGGATAAATAATACAAGAGTTACAATTTTTTTTTTTCTTGGGACTTAACTTTTCTGAACACAAAACAGGAGATCTAAGATGTATTTTATTCATATTTATATGTAATCATGTTAGTCACATATGCATTAATTTACTTCAAAAGTTTCTTTATATTCAAAACCTGTCTCATTAGTTTTAAAGCGATATAAATTTCGACTTTCGAACATTCATAAAATCAATCATGCGACTCCCATCGTCTTCAAGTTTGGCTGTTCCTGCTATATATGTAAATATACACCCACTCCTCTGACAACTTCAAATTTAAAAAATAATAATAATTTTGGACAAGTAATGAAATGTAACTTTTAATACGCTTTCCAGGCTCCTATACTTTTGTTATGACAAGTTTCATTTTCGTTATGACAAAATAAAAATATAAGAAGTTTGACTCCCATTATGTCTATCAAAACTGAGCAGAATACATAATTTAAAAATTTGCAGTTTTTGATGTCATTTTCAATTTGCCTTGAGGGAACAATTAATGAAGTTAGAATAATTTGAGGAAATAAGTTTAAATGAAGTGCAGCATAAAATGTGTATAATTTAATTGGCATACAAGGAAATTATGTGGTGTCCATAACAGATTATTATTATTATTATTATTATTATTATTATTATTATTATTATTTATAGCTAATTGTAATTTCTCTCAAAAGACAATTCTTCTTTGATATTAACTTCAGCATGGAAGAATCAAGTCGCATGATATGAAGTTAGGTTTCATACACGCTTCGTACTTGACCTTGATGATGCGCAGACAAAGAGAGGAGATCAAAACGGAAGTGAGAAAAATACATGATAAATAAATGACTGATGTTGGTAGTGCCAAACGATGAGAAAAATACATATTTCAAATAACGGTAGATGGCCAAGAAATTAAATTAAATCCTTTAATAAAAAAAATTCTTACTTAAGCAAATACCGAAAATACCAGTGTTTTTACATTTACATCAGTTTCACAAAATAGCACAAAATATCATTATTTTGTATACCAATGTACTGATATTGCAATCATTAGTTATAACCATATTAGTAGAAAAGTTTCTAAAAAATCTGTGAGCACAACTAACTGGTTTCATAAGAAAAATTTGTGATGATTTTCGAAAAATCTCTCTTTTTGTAAAGGCAACTGTAGAAATATGTGTAAGTCTGTCAGTAACCATAATTTCAAACATTATGTTATTAATGTAAGCTCTGTAAGGATCGTTAAGATTAAAGTCTTCCACACAATTGTTCATGAAATGGAATCCAAAATCTGCTTTCATGAACATTAATTGCACTAAAATGAACTTTTCATATGATGATATGGCAATCTCATTAAAAAAAAAGATGTTGTATATTGGCTAAGATTTTCATTTCCTATGAATATAGCAAGAATAAGAAGTTTAACTGTATGGATACATTTTGATTCTCCATTGCAAAAAAATGCATTCTTTGTAAAACAATATGAACTTTTTTTGTATTTTCTATTAAATTAAAATTTCTTTATTTTGCTGAAGTTCTTCATTATCTGTTCTTTGTTTTTAGGTCTAATTTAGGTACAAATGGCAATGCAGGTATTGAATCTGGGGAAGCAGTGTATGATAATGGTACTGTAACAGAATATGAGGCAGAGCCATTACCAGCTTTAGGCACTGCTCGAGCTTTATATCCATTTGATGGTATGTGCAGGTGATTTATATATTTTATATATCGTTACATGTTTCTTCATGTATGGCTTCGTGGATTTGGAGTGAATAACAACAACACTTGACGAAGTATCAAAACATAATTTATTAGCCAGTATTATTCAATACAGCTCCAAAAACACTTACAGTAGTCGAAGTGTCTATAAACACACTGAAACAGTCAGTGACAGAGCCTTCAGGCTATCAGGCTACAATGGTAAAGAAAGCTTCATGGCAAAGCACCAGAGTACAGCTCCTGACTCTACTCTTTATTTTCAAAGATTTATCTTAATAAGCTTACCAGCAACTTGCTGGTTAGACCACCATACACTGCTAGTTCATCCCAAGTTTGGTTTATGATGCCCAAATGGACTTGCATAAATGAGATTTTTTTGAGATTTACTCTTTCTGTAATTTGAATTTTCAGTTTCTATTTGAAATGTCTGTCAGAAGGTATCCAGCAATTCTCAGATGCTTTACCGTAATAAGTAACCTATATTAATTTTTTTTCATATCATCATATTAGATTACTGAATTCATGGTATAAAATTGATATGAAAAATATGTTTATTCAAAAATAGTAAATATGGTTCAGTTTATGTATTATTTAAATATGAGAGATTATTATTGTAATACATTGTGTATAACAGATTTTGATGTAGGTAATAATTCAATTAATTTAATTCAAGTAATACTGAATTTTCTTCTTGGTTTTGAAACAGTTATCTGTAGAATATTTTTTTCTTTTCACAGTTCAACCATCAGAAATGCAATGATTTCAAAATGAGCTACAAAATGTTCTGCAAAATTAGTTAATTAGTAGAATAGTTAAATATTATTTTACATAACAGTAGATAAAATTGTATTGCTTTTTGAAATTTAGAAATAAATTTCATCTTAATTTGCTTTTGAATTCTGAATAAATTTTTATTTTAGAATTAGAAATTGGAATATAAATGCTTGGAAGAGTGCATATATTCATACTTTAGGTCTAGTAGAAATTAACTTCGTATATGAATTGCATATAACTTATATATATGATGTATTCATTTGAGACTAGTATTTGTCTCTAATACCTTTGTGATCTGTGTAAATGAAGGACTTCATATATAACATATCTACCGGTACGAAAAACAAATTCTCTTACTGTGTAGTGAAATATATCGACTTTGAAAGCATTTGTTTTGTAATATGTTTGAAATGCATAAGATGTGTGTAATAATTTAGTTCATTAAGGTTTTAATTTTTGTTTCTTGTTTGAAAGTTGTGCAATTATTTTAGGGATACAGATCATTTATTTCCATTTTTATAAATCCCAGTTGTTAATTCCTTAATGTTCTTTTTACATCCTTATGCATTTCTACGTTTTGAATTAAGTGTTTCAGAGCTGAAGATAGAGGATGTATTGGTATAAAAAAGACTACATGCTGTTAATTCAAGATGTTTGCAAGATCTGTGATGATGAATTGACAAAGTTAAAATTCCTGTTTCCAACACATTCTAACACAAAGCAAGCTCAGCAAAATTTTTTGTTAACAAAATGTTAGAAGGCTCTGTATTTTATTTGGAAAGGACATTTGGTTTGCAAATGACATGTATACAAATGATAAAAATAAAGGGCTGTAATTATGAAATGTCTCAATGCTGAGGTATTTGAATGAAATGTAAGAAAATATGTTTTAAAAGTAATAATTTTAAAACTTTTTTTAATTCATTGAGAGCTATTCTGTGTGCTGTGAATAATAAATGTTCCATAAAAGTACACATAAATGCAAATTATTCCACTAGCACAAAACAATTAAAACAAAAAAAGTTCACAAATGGTATTAGAGTGTTACTTTGCTACTATCTGATAAGACAGAACAAGATGTATTGAAATACTATATGATAAAACAGAACAAGATGCAGTGAATATCTGATAAGCTAGAACAAGATGAAGTGAAATGGTATTGAGAGATGATTCTGTTGTGCTTTATGAAGTTTTAAGAGATGCATATCTACAGTTCAGCTCCAAAGATATCAAAAATATGTTCAAATTTAAATTAAGTATTTTCATAATTATTATCTTTCTTTCTTGTCATTTTTATCAAGATCTATATTTGGTAAAACTATGAGCTATGTTTTCAGTGAACTGGTGATGTATCCAGGCTATAGAGAACACTCTAAAAATTTACATCTGTTTTGCTTTGTATCTGAGACAGAAATTCTTCTGAAATGCATTACCAGAGACACTGTAAATGTTTTGAGCCAATGTATTTAGTTGCTGTCCTGTTATAGCTTCTGCAAGAACCCTTCAATCTGATTTTGAAAAGATGCATAAAGATTTGAAATGAGAACTTGTATTCAAAGATATTGCTTCTGAATAATTTTCATGAGCTAAGAATATGGCATGTTCAAATTATTATTTTTCTTTATGAAATATATAGGCAACAGAGCAAAGAAATAATTAGTTTGGTATGCATATTGTCTTCTTGGCTGTAGGCAATAAAATTTCCAGCATGAAGAAAATATGCTTACATGCATGTGGGTTCGTAATGAATTTGAATGCATACAGAATCTATGTTAGCTTTATAAAATTTATTTTCCCAAAGAAAGCACTTTACAGTTCTGAAGCTTTTTGCAAAAGTACTTATACAGCTTTTCTCAGTAGCACAATCAATAGTTACCACTGCAAAATACTAAGAACGTTAAATACAAAACAATTTAAAAAAACCTCAGTGTGTAAGCTCACTCAGTGATCTCTCAGTAGGTCTAAGCTAAACTGTGAACTAAACTGAGAACTGTTGCTCTCTGCAGTCTCATATAGTTTTCCCTCATCTGCTGAGAAATTTCCAGTTCCTTTGATTTGTAGAAATTGCTAAGGCATATATAATTACAGTCGCATAGAGCTGGACCAAAATGTTACCAAATGGTCACCAAGTTTGGCAGTTTTTGGTTTAGCGACAAAAATTAGGCTTCCATCACCATCCTGGTGCTCTCTTGCAAATTTGGTGAGATAGTCATGTACCTCAATGTTAAACAGATTTGCTTCTGTATTCTTCCGATTTAACTGTGCAGTTTTGAGGTCTTTCATGTTGCAATATACAAGATCATATTTCTGTTATACAAGAGCTATTATTATATACATATAATTTCGCTAAAGTTATTTACATATATTCAAAATTAGTAACATTATCTTGGGCTTTCAGTGAATGTACTGTTGCAAAATTTTAAAACATGATATGTTGTAGTAAATGAAATTTGTTACATATATATGTATATAGCTCAGAGTGAAGGCTCCATCCCTATGGAAGAGAAAGAAGAATTTGAAGTTGTTGAACTTGACCAAGGTGATGGCTGGACTCGTGTAAGGAGATCAAATATGGAGGAGGGATTTGTTCCGACATCATATATTGAATGCTTCTTATACAATAGCTGTTAGCAGTATATTTGGTAAGTTGTGACAACATCAAAAGATATATCCCTTGAAAGAAATAAATTAGAAAACATTTTCTCTCCCCTCCTAAGACCCAGTTCTTCCCCCCTCCATTTTTAATGATGTGAATCATAATGTCTTTCAAAGATTTTGTTTCTTGCTATGTGTCTTACATATATAAATCGTCATTTTATATGATCTTTAAATATTTTATATATTAAATGAGTTAAAAAGTTATATTAAATCACATGATCATTTAATTTTTTTATCTTTTATAATGATCTTTAAATATTTTATATATTAAATGAGTTAAAAAGTTATATTAAATCACATGATCATTTAATTTTTTTCTATGAATTAAAGGATTGATTATGTTTCATACCCAGGATACTAAAATTTCTCAAAAAATTAGATTGGTATCTTTTGAGCAACATATTTTTAAGTCATTTATGTCTTGCTTTTTTTGGGGTGTGTGTGAAATAAGCTGGAGCTTGAAAGATTTCCAATAAAATCAAACTGTAATAACTAACAGAATACCATATAAGGTTTTATGTATTATCATGCTGAAATGAATATTTGTAATGATTTTTTTTCATTGTTGAGTCAATCTATTAAGTCAAGTTTTATGTCAAATTTCAAGTTTTACATATTTCAAATACATGCCTTTCTACTGATCTAGTCATAGACTAATGACTTTTTGGCTTTTTTTAGTGTGACTCATTTGGGATCATAATTCCTTTTATGTGAAATCTGTAATAGTTTCAAGTCTTATGGTAAAATGACTGAATATTATACTAATTATCTGAACTCTAATAGTTGAATTTGTTTTAAGATGATAATTACAAGCTAGACTTGACATCACAAGTTCAATGTCAGGGGAGCCATTGATATCAAAGAGAAAAATTAAGTTAATTCAGTTACATTTATTTTTATAATAGTTAGAATTTTAATTTATATGTTTAAAGCAAGTTATAATTATTTTGTCAATTAAATTTATCTTATTATCTACCAAGAAAGGCTCTTCTAAAATGAAAATACTACTCACCCATTTTGGTTGTTTTTGACATGCAACCGAAAAAAGGTTGCCAGTGCCTGATGTATTATATGATACCTTATTGCAAATTTGAATTTTAGGAGCTATCAATGTTTCATTAAATATACAGTAAAAGATCAAAACTTCATTTAGCTGGGGAGCCCAAAGTTTCATTAATTCTAGATATTTGCATATTTCAAATAATAAATGCAAAATGATATTTAAACTAGAGTAAATTAAAAAATGTGATAAAGCACATAAAAGCATGAATTTCTTTTTTGCATTTTTATAGAGGAAATACGGAAGAAATTATTTTTAGTTGTTTTATAGAGAAATATGCAGAATGTTTACTACACATTTTACATAAAAGATACCTTAAAAAGCACACAAAATATTATATTTTACATTTTTGAACATCTATTTTATGGCAGTCTATATAAAACTTTAGGTTATTCTACTTTTTTCTCATTTGCTATGTTTTTAAGTTATATTCATTAATTCTGATCAGTTACACAGTTTTTATTGTCCTAAATCCAGTTTTATTCACTATTGCTTACTGGGGAAGCATTTGTTTATTTAGAATTTGTCATTCTGATACAGTAAAAAACTACTATTTCTCTAATCCTGATAAAAGTTATGATCAGTAAAATGTGATAGTTTGTTTCTGTATTGAATAAGAAAACATTATTACCAGTAATGTTTCTAACAGCTGTCGGAGTGATCCATGCGACATAAATGTATTTTTAATGCTAAGCCACATAATACCACTGTGTTTATTCAGACTCCTTATTTCAGCAGCCTAATTTTCTTTTTCTACTTCCATTCAGCGAGCAATGGAAAATATCTTACTGGATTAAATGTTTGTTCATTGTGAAAATGTTTTTATATATTTGTAATTTGAAACTTTAGTAGTTTTGTTGTCTTATGAATTTCATTGATGCTGAAGAGGAGAGAGAAATTTCATTGATGCTGCATTGGAGAGGCTGTGTAGATTTCAAATGTTAATGGATTGTAATTCAGCAGTTTTTTTTTTTTTTTTTTTTTATTTTTATTTTTTTAAGATTTTCTCATTACTCTTTATATATAGCCTGAAGTTATACTTAAAAATAAAAAATAACCCATGTTAGTTTGTCTGTCTTTCTAGAACTGCATATTAGACTACCTAAAACATAAACTTCTTTTGGAGTCTTTATATTCAGCTTCTGTAAGTTTATTTGGAGTGCCTAAATATAATTTGGAGTGGAGGGTAATGGGTGTGGAAAGTTGGGATACATAAAGACAAAATTCGTTGAAAGAGCAGGATAAAACTCTGGCCATTTAATATGAGGAATCCAAGTACTGGAAATTTGTATTCCTGTACTATTATAACAAGCTGAAAGAGTTAAATAAGTCTTCTTGATTCTAAAGAAGCCTCTTATTATCAAAAAGCTCATGTTGAGCATTAATAATTATGAAAATCTAAATGCTACAAAATATGGCTTCTTTTTCTCTTTATCAAATAGTATTATGATTTCTTTCAGTTTTGGGGGACTATGAAAGCTTTTGCTTGTAGCTAAAAATAAAGTAATATAATTAATTTTTTCCCTTTCTTTTTATTTATTTATTCTAAATTCTGCTGTTATTGATTTTATTTACTTCATGAATTGTAATCTTCTTCTTTTCATAATACAGTGCAAAATCCGAAAGGGAGACCACCAGCATAAAATAAATAAATAAAATAAAAATAAAAATTCACCACTTACAACGTCTAGAAATGGAGAATATAATACTCAGCAAAAGGAAGCAGATGTTCTGTAAATGCTAGTTTTCTTCTGGCTAACTGAGATTTCTGCATATTACTTTCAAACACCTGCTCGCTAAGATCTGCATCATGGCCAGTGACAATACATTGATTGACTTTGTACTAATGTTGACCATGATCACACTTTTCAGCCCTTAATGTTTTTCTATCTGATCAACAAGTAAACAATAAGTAATGCCTCTATGTTACTGTATCTACATGTCGACTTACTAGGTCTAGACTAATGATCTAAAATCCAGAAATTTCCTAATGAACTGGGACTTTGTACTGTATTTAACTTTTCAATGATTAAGCATGTGTATGATATATATGTTTTTGTACTGTATTTAACTTTTCAATGATTAAGCATGTGTATGATATATATGTTTTAGTGTAAAAGGTTAGAAATGAATATCATTGAAACTTCAATTTAATAAAAGGGTATTTTTTAAAATGGATTTTTTTTAAAAATATAAGTATCACACATTAATATACACTTTTTATGAATTACATTTTCTAATTAATGTTTATTGTAAATTGATATTTACATTATGATACTCTCATTTTACAAATGATAAAATATCACTTTTGTATAATTTCATTATAAATGTTTCTTAACCATGAGTTATAAAATAGAATTTTGTACTATGTTATCAATAACCTGAATAACTGGAAATTTCAAAAGTTTTGTTTTATTTCATCAATGGTCATTTCTGATGTTATTTTAAATGTAAAATTGGCATGGCTGTATATTATAATTCGATGTTTCATATTTAATCAATCTTTTTTTAAAACTGTATTGCTGTTGAGATCAGTGTACATTTTAAAGAGTTTTCTAATATTATATTAAAAAAATATGGGAATATAGCATTATTTAGATAACTTTTTTTGGCTTCATTTGACATATATACAAAAACGTAATATGACTGATTATCTCTTTACATTTTATATTTTAGGTGCTTTAAATACAACTGTATTCACAAGATAGCAGCTGGCAGGTTGTATAACTATGCATTCAAGCTTATTGAAGCGGTATGAAAGTGTTAAATTTTTGTTCATTCCAAGGACACGGGCATTCTTCTTTTTTCTAAAAAAATTAAGAGTGCCTTTTAATTATTGCATGGAAGTGAAGTATATGACATTCATTCACTTTTACGTGGGTGCTTTCGTGTAAAGCTTTATTAAATCTCTGTGTACCCATTATTTCAAATAGTTTACTAAGGAGGATATTTTCATTTTACTCTGTAATGCTATCTTTTGTTAAATTATGAGATCATATCAATTTTTATTTAACAAAGGGCAATGTATGTACGTTTTTTTATCACTGAAAGATCTTGTGCAATTTAAAGTACATTTTCCTGTGAATTTTACTTTTGTTATTGTATATTTTATGTGTAATTGTTTTTTAATACTTCGAATCAGAATTTGCCTTTCATTATAATCTTTTAAATTATTTACAGGAACCTGATTTTATAAATTTCTATTCATTTTTTAACTTTTAAAAATGTAATTTTTAAGCAGTTTTTTAAGTTTTTAAATATTTTTCATTCATTTAATTCATTAATATGTCAGAGACAGGTACTTGAATAACTGATGCATTTATTTACTTATTTTATCTGGAACTTTTTTGGAATTTTTAACTTATACAATTCACTATATTTATTCAACAACATACGTACCATACTACTTCTGTTCCATTGTGTATTTTATACAGCAAAAGTGTGTAAACTTTATATCAAATGTTATGTTATAATTGTATGTTATTAATTGTCATTAAAAATAATTATGATTATAAATCATAGTTTAAAGCCTAAAAATGTGAATACTATTTATTGCTGGATAAGTAAGTTATGTCTATTAAAATTTTCCGATTGTTTTTGTTGTGAAATAATTATATTGCAACTGCATTTTAGGAAATTATGAACTAAGTAATTTTTGATTGTCTGTTAGAGTAGAGCAAAATTTTTATAGAATCTTATCTAAAGCCTTTTTCCATTAGCATTAAATTAACTGTTATTATTACTGCTTATTTATCACCATTTGTATAGGTAAGGGTTGCCAAAGTTTTTAAAGTTGGAACTGATATCAGCAGTAATATTCAGTTAAATGGGAAAACTTAAAAATCTATATACAATTCCTGAAATTTTGAAAAATACAGAAGAGGCAATTTAAAATTACTAAAAGCTAATTTTGTCCAATTATTATCATCATGTAATTTCCCCCCTCCTGATGAGAAAAAGAAATCAGAGCAAATAATTTGATATATCCATGATAAATTGCACTTGAAATTTTGTGTCTTGTGATTATCTTAACACATTTAGCCATTTTAACTAAATTTTAACAAAGTAGTATAATGTATAAGGAAAGGAAAGAATTCTGATGTATGCAGTCTGAAATATAGATAGTAAATGATTTATTTGCTGTAAATTTTCTGTGTTTAGTCTGTAATGAATGCCATTTATTTCCATGAAATATACCAAAGAATTTATGTATATGCAAAACCTATACTAGTGATAATTTGCTTTTAACTGAAGATAGTAGGATTGAGCTGTATTTGCATTTGCTCGAAATCCTAACTAATATAATCTGCTGAATGCTATGAAATAATTATCATAATTTAATTATTCTAATTATCAGAAATTTTTAAATAACAAGAAGCTTTCATTATTGTAAATTTACTAAGTGGCATATGAATTTAATAAATTGAAATGCTCTTCCTTTTTTGTAATACAAATAATCTGAGTACACTGTGAAGTAATTATCATCATTAAATTTCCCTATTATTGTCATTTTCATCAAATTCCTGCTGCCCTTGAAAAATTTAGGATTGAAGAATGGGTATACTGTTTGCCGATCATAAACTTTGGAACCAAAACTTTTATTGAACGACATTTGGGTATGAATCAAGACTCTTTAAGGGGTGTTAACTGTGGTTCATTTACTCCCTTTCATCTGCTTTGATTGGTAGACAGCACAAATGTATTTTGGAATGTAGATCTGAGCTCATTGCCATGTTAAGCTGCCTCGACTAACTACCGTAAGACTTGGTGATGGCAATTTGTATAAGTGAGGATAATTATTAACTCTTCAATTTTTGAAGTTATATTTTTCCATTCTCTTAGGTATAAAAAAACTATGCACTGAGTATTTAAGAAAACTGCAGTGACCGAAGTCAGTGCTACTGTATAATATTATTGTAAGCAGATTCACTCATACTTAGCATTGCATGGTAGAAGTGTTGTATCATCAGCATAATTGGTATTTGATGATATATGAAAGCCATATTAGTAGAGCATTGTTAGCGGCCTTAATGTGAGCAGAAATTTTATTTCCTATACGGGTTGCCTTTAATCCTTTCACCAAAAGTTTACTCTATGTTAATTTTCAAGTGTAAAAAAAAAAAAAAGTATTTTATATGAAGTTATCTGGATTTTCTTCCCCTCAAAATGTTTGTATCGTATGCATATGTTATGAAATGTATTTTAAACATGTTTTAATTATATGGACTGCATACTAATTGTGTAAGATATTTGTCCTCTTAAATAGTTGAAACACATTTCAGAAAAGTATCTTTTTCATTATGCCGAGGTAAAACATTTTTAAATTCAATAACAAATTTTCATTTAAACCAGATTTAAAAATAAAATATTTGATTGGGAATTTGAAACTCCATATTAGGCAGTTAATAAATATCAGGTGCTAACATAATTTTGCTGTGCATTTAAATTTGAAACTACTGCAGGTAATACTTTATGAACTTACTTTGGTATTCATTTCAATGTATGATACTGAAATTGTTGCAAGGAAAAAAATTGTGATAAATCTTTGCCAAATTATATAATATAAATGAGAACATTTTGCCAAAATAAATAAATAAATGTGTAAATAAAATAAATTTCTTTTTAGTACATTTATTATTTTAAAAAATTCCAATAATAAAATTGAATTAAATTAATTATTAAAATCTCATTTAGGAAGTAAATTGGATTTTATCACTTAATTTGTCATTCTAAAAGAAAAGGAAAACCCATTTTTATGGAACGAAATTTTCCTGTTGTCATATCATTTCCACAAGGATACTTGTAGTTTTAAACGCAAAGCTCTTGTTTGCTATTAATGAGAAGAAAGTTTTAAATATAACTGTGTGTTTGGATGAAAGATCTCAATAAAATAATGACAACTACACATTTCTTCTAGTAATGTGCCAAAAATAGTTGTAAAACTATGCCTAACTATGCTATTTAAGGCAAATATTTTCAGTTAAGCAGTTTACCTAATTAATAATACTATAGTTGCATGATTCTACAATGTTTTTATAGGATGTGTAAAAAAACTAGCATTAAAAACAGGATGTTTTCTTTAAAAAATAGTGCGTAGTTCGTGTATGAAGATAAAACATTAGTAAAGTTACATTTGTTATTTCTGTGATATACATGACTTGCTAAAAATCTTTCATTTAGAATTCTGTAAAGTTTTTATTATAACTGAATTTTTAAAACCTCTGAAAAGATGTTTAAATGATAGATTTCATAAAAATGCAATGTTTCTAAAATGTAATCTAAATACTACGAGGGCACTTAATTTAAGTGGAAGGAATATTTGAGGTTCCATGTTATCTTCGAGATTTTTGTGTAAACAAGCTTTTCTAAAGGAAGCTCTGAATAATTAATTGCATTTTTGACAGAAATATTTGAATATGAATAACACAATTTAAATAACAAGACTGTAAAGTATAATTGTTATTTTTTGGTGCAGTCATTTGCATTATTTCTTCTAACAGAATACTTAAATAAAAATAGGTTTGAAAAAAATAGAGTTTTAAAAAATACATTAGTTTCCATTGAATAATCTTCTCATTTTACATGAAAATATTGTGTTTCTAACCATTGTTTTTAATAAATTTTGTTAAATGCCTTTAATTATAAAAATAAGTATTTTCTTTGAACAATTATCTTTCGAACTGTTACTATTGTTAGCTTTCTTTTAAAATGTAAAACACATTTAGTATTTATAAAGCCAATACTGTGTTATAAATTTGAGTGGAAATCTTGTATAAGAAGTTTTAATTCTTAGAGAAATGATAAACTGTTATTTCTAGAACAAAGGTTAGTGCTTTTGAAGAGAAATTTTTTAGGTACTTTCTGATTATATAGAAGCCACCACATGAGCTGTTGTGAAACTATAAATTTGGCAATAAGTTTAGCCAATTTCAGTAATTAACTGTGGTAACCCTTCTAAGAAGAAAGTATCCTATTTTTGCATTTATATTTCAATATATAAAAGTGTAATCTTCCTTCAGTTAAATTGAACTTTAATGCAGTGTGATTGTAGACAAATGTTACTAATTCAGTGTTTTTTTTTTTTTTTTTTTACTTGGGTAGAAATTAACTCTGTCATGGCTTTTTAAATTTGCTGGTGAAAACGTAGATTTAAAAAGCATTTATTAGCTAAATTTGCATAATTACTTATTTTGGTCTCTGTTTTCAAAAACCTCCATTCATTAAGATGATATTCACAATTGTTAAAGAAAGTAAGAAAGCAAAATATTTTAAATTATAAGCTAATATGCACCAAGTAAAAAAAAAATCTGATCATCTGCTAAAGGCAGTCATGCTGCTTATGAATTAATGGTACTATGTGTTGCCACTCTGAATACTTAATGGCAAATTGAATAGTTAGTTAGATAGAACATATATTTTCTAAGGCAATGTTTTTCTCTTTAAGGAATATACATATATTTTAATTTTATGTTAAAATGTTGTATTAATAAATAAATAAGATTGACTAAATCTTGATACTGTAGACATATATTACAGTTCTAAAGAAAGGTTAGTGTTTTAAAATGCTCACTCAAATATCATTTAGTTCTTCAAGATATTAGTTCTACAAAGAATAAAAGAACAAACTTAGTTTAATTTTCTGTACTTCTTACAAAAGTTTCTTGTGTAATAGATTTTTTTTCATAATTTAAGTAATTTTATATGAAAGGGATTAAAATTTCACTGCATTATAATTACTGTAGCAATGTAATAAGTAAAGTTTTGTTTGTGAAATTTTATATGCAATCTGTTTGTGATATAAAATTCGTGTCAAATAACTGTGTGTGATTTTATATAATGCTAGTCTCTTATTTTTACATATTGTAATGTAATATAAATGGTGCCCCAAAAAGAAGAAGTTCATTTATTTAAAGCATTGGATTGATGAGAATTTGGAATAGTGTGATGTCCTTGTATACATGTGTGTGTGATGAGTGGTTGCTACTTTTATTCTGTATATAAATGTATACTATATTTATCATTTATTTGTTTCTATATTGCATTTAGTGTACTGTAATTATTGTGAGGGTGAAATGCTGAGAAAAATTATTATAATAAGATGAATGAAAATAATTTATTAGAGATTATCCGTTATGCTGAATTTGGTGAAATCGTTATTTAATAACATCTATTTGTACAAATGTAGTATTAGTTACTAATTTATTTTTTTATGTTTAAAAAAGTTTTTGTATCACCTTAGTCCATTTGTTGTTAGCTTTTCTTGTAAAATATTGTACAGTTTATTGATGCTTAACACACACTCCTCTTTTTATTGCTTCTCATTGTACTGCATGATATAGATTCATCTTAAAATGAAATAAAATCCACAGAAAGTAAACAGTCACTTTGAATGCCTTCTCATATAAATCATTTTTATACTTTTACATTAGAATAAAGGGTTCTCAATTCTTGTTATGATTAGTGCTGCTTAAAATATTACTTGCACATGCAATGGAAAGTTTTAAGTCTCCTGGAAGGTAAACAAACAACTCTTACTAAAAAGAGATATGTGGGGAATTGACAGCATTATAGAGATTAAAATGTTTATTAGTGCATGCAGGTTATTATTGTACAGCAAAAATGAAAAATTAAATTTACTTTTAGTTGAATAGTAATAAATTATAGATTTCTTTGTATACAAATAAAAATTAAATTATTGTCTTAATTTAGTCTGTAAAACTAAAAGTAAGATTCTCTTTGAATCATTTAAAAAATTAATTTTAGTTATTTTATTTTGGTAGAGATAAAAAATAGGTTGTGTAAAAAATAGTTTAATTAATTTTGTTAAGAAAGTTGTGTTTGTTACTTTTTTTCACTAAAATGAAAGCATTTTGTCTTTTTGTTTTGTTAACTGCATAATCTCTGTTAAAATACAAATACAATAAACAAACAAAAAAAAAAAAAAAAAAAAAAAAAAAAAAAAAAAAAAAAAACATTGTCATCAATTGCATTAGAGTAAATAACAGATATTTGGTCTTCAGAAAATGAATAACCTGGTTGTCTGAGCTTTCAAAATGTACAGATATTTAGTTAATTCACATATCTGGAGTTCTGCCATACATTTAGAAATAAATTTTATGTAAATTATAGTACTTTTAATTGTTATGTATTGGGTTTTCATACACTGAAATTGATCGTGCAGCACTATTTATCACAGAATTTAACCGAGAACCACTGCATTAAAAAAATGCCGTTTCATACTTCAAGACTTTCTCCCCCCCCCAAAAAAGTCAAAATTTTATTATTCCAGACTATTTTTGTTTTTAAATATGAGAACAAGATAGTTAATTTTGGATCTGTGAGCCACATTTCAGATAAAATAATTGATTCATATAAAGTGTATTTAAATGAGCTGACAGTGCTTATCGTATAATGAAATAAATGTGGAACAAAAAATCATTCATCTTTCTGTTGTGTTCTGCTAAAGATTTTTATGCAGTTTAATACAAAACTTGTCATAAGTCCATTCTAAGAATAAAAACAGTATTCTGCATACTTAATAATATTAAGCTAGAAAACACTGTGTGAATAAACATTTAAAAACAAATCATAGCCAAGCTTTTAAGTATGCTGTATCAATTTATTTTTAAAACCTTTTCAGTATTTTAAAGCTGTGTACACTTTTTAAAGAAAAATTCTTTGCAGTTATAAATGACCCTTAAAATGTAATTAAATTTTACTTAATAAAGATTCTGTCAGTTTATATTTTAATCACATAACTTTGTAAGCTCTGCCCTTTCTGTAATAAACTTACTTTTAATTTTCTACATATTTCTTCTAGTTAATTGAAAAAAAAAATTCAAGTTGGGAATTATGGTTTTATTCATTTTCTTACAATGTTTCGCATAAAAATAACAATAAAATGTTATGTTATGTTTTCACTCATTCAATATGTAATTAAATCATTTAGCATAAATATTTTGCTGTCCTCACATTTATATGTAACTCTGCTTGAAGCATAATTTGTATTATGATTTCATAATTATAAAGAGCATGTCATGTTTTTACAATGTTGTTTACATAATTTATTATTGATCCTCCTGTATATTTATGTTTTAACCGATAATGGTGCCATTCTTTGTTGATCTTTGTGGAGAGGAAGAAACTGTATCATCATATTGAAAGTTTCTGTGACGTTGTATTCTATATGTGAAATATTCACACAAATGATTTTACCTTATCAGTAACACCATCATGTTTACGTTTCATTTCAAAATTTCAATAAATTGTCTGCAAACATGTTATCTGTGTTTTATTTTCTGTTTTTAATACTGAAAGTATATACCAGTGGTTTTCAGTATCTTTTGGCCCATGCACACCTTGCTGAAAAAATATTCCTCCTAACTATAATTTATGTAATAAAGAACAATTATGATCTAAAAGGTATAAAATTTTACAAAAAAAAAAGGCTTAATATTTATTTGTTTACTTTATTAAACATTTCTTTCAATGCGCGCATGCATAAAGCATAGTTTACACGCACATTCTTTACGCGCATGTGTAAAGTTTGTGACTTTAAGGTCCGGATAATGGACATCCGGATTACGAACTTTGTACTGTATATGTTTATTTAGATTGTTTTTAATGTGTTTGTAGATTAAACAACAATAAGTATGGAAAAAGTTAATAAATACCAAAACTTTAATAAAAATAGTTTTTTTATATTCATAAACTAAAACTAAATACTTAACAGATAAATAAAAGGGTGAATGCCCGCACTCTTCCTCCTGAAACTTCTAAAATTTCATCCTAGGTGTTAATTTTCCCCTGGTATATAAAAGGCTTAAAGTGGACCATATGCATATATATTTTTTTATAGAAATAAATATTTGATGGATTTGCCATAACCCATTTTAGGTCATACTTTTTATGAAATAAATGCTGATTTTTTTCAATTTCCGCCCTCTTTTTTTTTTTAAACCAAATATGCTATTTTTAAGTCTTTCATAAAACAGACTTTTTGTAAAGTATGTAAATTTTGAATATTTGAATCCATTTTAAAACTAGTGCAAATTCCAGACATATTGAATTGTGCATCATTTTGTAGACTACGTGGTAAAGAATTCAAATTGGGTTCAAACTTAAAACATCAAAATTATTTTAAATTTAAAAAAATACTTTTAAATATCCGCCTATGAGGTAAAATATAATTCTTCCGAAATTCTTGTAACTAATAAAAATTATGATTTTGTTAACTTAATCTGTTATTGGACTTCCTGTTGTTGAATGAATCTGCTAGTGGCTGAATGTGGTATTTTGATCCACTGAATTTGGTATTTTGATCTACACTGTCCTTCAAAAGTTAAGGAACAGCATGTGTTTTGTTTCTAATTTTAGAAGGAAGCAACATAGAAACCAGAAATGTAGAGGACATGTTCACTAAACAGTTCTTTAATGAATGTGAAATAGAATGTTTTGAAAGTTCAACACAAACACAAATTAAAACAAAAAATTGCGCTCTTGGCAGAGAAATCCAGTCTTGGAGAAACAGTATATCACAGTTTCTTGAGGAAAAATGGGGTTGTAACATTGCAAAAAATGGGTTCTAATAAGGAATGTGTCTACGCCTAGCTCTAGCTGCAAAACATTGGCGATAGTGACGTTCCATGCTGCCAATTAAGTTGTTGGTCAGTGAAATGTGAGGCAATGATCAGACATGGAATAATATTTGTTCAAGCTCATCTAATGACCTTGGAGGAGGACTTACACAGCAATCTGTCTCTCAAGGTAGTCCCAAAGATACTGACTGCATCGGATTCAGGTCTGGAGATTGAATTAGCCATTCCATCCGCTCCATACTGTGACCCTTAAGATCACAGCCCAAATCATTATTCCACCACCTCTGTAACTGTGTATTTCCACAATGTGGGATTGGTTGTATCTGGTGCATTGTTCTCTCCAGATCAGCTGACAACCTGAATCACTTTACAATGTGAACCTGGACTCCTCCTTGAGGAGAATATGCTGACTTGTGCAGGAGACATGTTCTCTTCCACAACATAAATGGGCAGCTCTGTCCTTGGTCAAGGGGACACAAACAACTGGTCATCTTAGATACAGAAATATTGTGCAGGCATCTGTACACTGTAGTAGCCGAGATTCTTGTTCCTGTTGCCATTAAATGATCTGTCATGAGCTGAGGCACAGTAATGTTACTCCTCCTTCGGGCTGAAAGAGCTAAATAATGGTCTCCCGCAGTTGTTGTAACTCTAGTTCTGCTTGGGACATGTCTAGACACAGAATCCTTGGATTCAAACTGATTCCATAGTCAGTGGATCACACTTTGAGAGACATCTAACAGCATCCACTTGTGACATCCCCATTTCTATCCATGCGATTGCCTGTCACCTCAACGAATTGGGCAAAGGACTTCTCCTGGACATTGATAGACCCTCCTGATAATCAACGAAATTGCTAATAACAATTGAAGATCAAGATTCGTGAGCAAAACTTACAATTTTTGCATTTTTTCTCAGCTGCTATATAAAATATTCATTTCTATAAAGTAAAGGTAGTAGCTATTGTTTTTGTATATATTTTCTTAAACTTCATTACTATCATGCATATAAACTGTGAATTTAAATGTTATTGACATTTTTGTGGTGGTGAGCTTTGAAAAACATGCTATTCCTTAACTTTTGGAGGGCAATGTAGTTTGAATTTTGATAAATGGGCTAAATGATTGAACTTTTCCTGATTTTTCTCATGTGTAATATAAATGGGAGTCAGTTTCTCTTAGAAGATCTCCCACTTAAGCAGATAACCTCTATTGCTATAAATATAATCAATGCCATGACAGATTAAACAAACTGACATCCGCGGTATCAATGAAAATGATGACTGCATTTCATATGCGATGGTCTCAATCAACTGTATTGAGCACATTATTATAAACAATTAACCGTAGATTAGTGGTGCAAAGTCTTTGGAGTTACAGAGCATCTTCTTCTTTGATATTTAACATATTATTAATCGAGAATCCTCTACTCTGTTGTTTAAAACATAAAGCTGTCAGCTTCCTTTAAAATCAGTTTGGTCTCAGCTTATGGTGATTAAGATTGAGCGTCCTTTAAATAAAGTGCTGGATTTTAGAGTGCATCCATTTTCAAAATATATTGGTTATTCGATGATGGTAAAGCACAAGAGGTAATGTAATAACTAAATGATTTAAGCCAAGAAGAAGAATGAATTCTTTGAAACGAAGAACAAGCTCACCATGGTTAGTTGATTAATGTACATGTATGTCTTAATTGACATGTACTTTGTATTTGTGTAGTTTCTTCGCTCACATATTTATTATTTTTTGGCATTTATATCATGCATATGTATTATTTTCTTTTATTTTCATATCGCACCTCTGAGTTCACACTTGCTTAATAAGATGTATGTCACATTTCACAGGTTATCACCAGCTCAACGGCTAACTTCGTAGCTTTCCAGATAGCTTTTCACAACATCTGAGATCTTTGCACAACCTACCTTATTATTAATATAATTACTGAACACCTTTGGCCTCTCTTAACTCCAAAAAATTATATATTAAAACAAAAAAAATTGCTTGTGTCATGTAAATATGTTTGTATAATACATTTCTTAAATTTATTATGTGTAAGCTGTACAAGTTATTTTCCATAGCAAGTTATTCCATTAAGCAACACTGTTTTTCAATGTGGGGTAGAGTCTTGGACCCAGGCACCCTGGTGCTACACCAAAATTTCTCTTCCAGTGGCGTAGCTAGGGGGGGGACATCTGTACCCGAGCGCAGCATCCAGGGGCGTGAAAGTGATGTTACGAAATTTTAGAATGAAACATTTTTCATTCTTGGCACACAGAAAGGGGCGCAAGATCTTTAGTTGTCCCCGAGTGCTGAAAACCCAAGCTACGCCTCTATTTTCTTCGTACCATGGTTAGTTTTCAAGGTTGATGTTTTAAACAAATCCTGAAGACGGTTCTAAGAACGTGTGAACGTCTAAGTTTTACGGAACGTGAAATGAATGAGGCTCTAATATAAAAAGTGAAAGATTGCACTAAATTTAAATATAATTGCAAAAATGATTTTAAAGTATTTAGATGGAGTCATTTGAGATTTTCCTTAGGCGTTAAATCTAACGTCGAGGTTCTTCTCATATAGCTATTATAAAAGTGTGACAATAAATACGCATTTGAGTATATGCGGCTAATAATTATAACAAATTCTGTTGACCAAGCTGCAATCCGAGGGAACTCATGAGTCGCATACGACCAGTAGACCCTAATTGCAATCACTAATACACTCGTGTGCAAAATTAAGACAATTTGCACATTATATTGAATTTTTGAAAAACTAATGTACATATTTTAATGAAATTTTATATGAATATAATTTTTTAGCAGAGAAAGAGATGTCCTATTTGAAAATCATTTTATGTATCCATGATTATCAGTAAAGCTCATACTGCAGGGATGTCCAAAATACACATTGTGATACGGATAAGAAAATGAGTCTTATATGGAATATGGTCCCTTCTCATAGGCAGACAGATCGCATAGCTTTACAGTATAATGGATAAGATGCTGTTGAGGAGTCTCTGTTGCAGCCGGTCCCACTTCTGCAGCAAGACAGTTTTCAACTCTGGGGTGGTTCTCGGAGGGGTTATTGCGAGATGAGATTGCTCTCCAAAGACCGTCCCACACATACTCTATAGGATTAAGGTCAGGAGATTAGGCGGCTCAATCCATGCGGTGAATATCCTCAATTTCCAAGTAATCATCGACTAGCTGAGATGTATACGGAGAGCATAAACCCAGGATCAACCCCCCCCTAAAGCCAATCTATACGGTATATTACATAAAATTGCTACTCAAAAAATATATCAGCCTTCTCAGATTCCTATTCAACACTATTCCACAAGTAGCACTGCCAGCATAGCAGCTAATACCGCCAGTATTCTTCTCCAAGCCCTTTTCTTCACGGGTATGCCTACTCAATGCGCCATCAAAGAAGACACCGGTGCCCCAAAGACATCACTGGATACTGTCTTTACTTCCAAAGAGATTTCACAAATTTTCAAATATTTCGCACGGAAAAAAGCTCCAGGCCCTGATGAACTTGATTATGCAATAATTAAAGTGGCATTTAAAGCTTATTCATCATTTTTTTACAAACTCCTTCAATAGACTGCTACATGCTCAAATCTTCCCAAGTGTTTTCAATAAAGGACAAGTAATCCTCTTTCTGAAGAAAGACAAGAACTCTATGGACCTG